TGTGGCTCAGGCCTGTGATCCCAGCTCTGGGGAGGCTGAAAACTGAAAACTGGAGGATAACTACAAGGAGTTTGGGCTGTGTAGTAAGACCCTGTAAATGAATAATAATAACTTACTAGAATATGGATATTAATGCAGGAGGCAAAATCTTACCTGGGTCGTTGCTACTTAGTGTGGACTGTGATTCAGCATCAGCTGGGGACTTTTAAAAATACACAATCTCAGCCAGGTGAGTTGGTACAGGTCTGTAACCCTGGCATTCTGCAGGGTTCAGACAGGAGAATCTTCAGTTCCAGCCCAAACGGGCAATTTAGTGACTTAGTAAGATTAATTCAAAATAAAATATAAATAAAAGAGCTAAGAGTGCAAAAGCCCTGGGTTCAAACCCCAGTCAGGGTCAGGGGTGGGGACAGATAGAATCTCAAGACCCATCCATATTGAATCAGAATTTTCATTTAAGTCAAAATTGGCACTGAAGAGAATCCCTGGATAAAGTATAAGCACATTAAGTTTGAGAAGCAATCCCTAAGACTGGGTGATGGCAATTTAATTTTTTTTTTTTTTTGGTTTGTTTGTTTTTTGCAGTACCAGCGATTGAACTGAGGACCTTGTGCTTGCCAGGAAGGTGCTTATGCCACTGAGGTATATCCCCGGCCCCCAATTCAATTTTAAAAACACTTTTAAAACACAAATGAGAAAGTTACTCTTTCCTCAGGGCTTCCCATATATCACCCACAGTGGTACAAGATCTCATTTATGATCAGGAAATGGCACCATGTATTACTATAGGGATATGAAAAGTAGTCATCCTCTAAAATAAATTCCACCCCACCTCTGTTCCACAGTGGTTCCTCACTGGTTTGAGCAGTTTGGGTCATCCTTTTGTCATGTGGCTCAGTGATTAGCTCAGATGACCCCAGCAGAAGCAATAGAAGAAAGGGCATCTTCTGGTCACTAGCACTGGTTCAAGGATGATCCAGTCAGCTTGGAAGTACAGTACTGATGGGTCCTCTAAGCTTCTACCTTCCTGGTTTCACTCTTTCTCTCTGCTGTGTTTTGAAATACTACACTTGATCCTATTGCTACTAGCTTTGAGATTATTACCCTCTCCTGAAAGGAAAGTTCTGCTGCAACTGAAATTGCTCCATTGTGGAACTTGGGCAAAGTTTAATATAGATGCTGCTCAACTCATGATGGTATTGCATCCTGAGAAACAAAATTAGGGGTACAAAATATAGCAAGTTAAAATGTACATTTAAATGTGGTGGGCTAGGTGTAGTGGCACATGCCTGTAATCCTGGCATTTTAGGAGGCTGAGGCAGGAGGATTGCTGCAAGTTAGAGGCCAGCCTGAGCTACAAAGTGAGTTCAAAGTCAGCCTGAACTGCATAGTGAAACCCTGTATCAAGAACACAAAACAAACAAGCACAAACTAAATAAACGTGGCGATGCACACATACAATCCCAGCACTCAGAAGGTAAGGCAGGATGACTGATGAGAGTTCAAGGCCAGCCTGGGCTACACTGAGTTCAAGCCACCCTGAATTACACAGTGAGTACTTAACTCAAAAAGAAACATAAAACACCAAAAAGATGTATTTAATATATCTACCTACTGAATATTTTAGCCTAACCTACTTTAAATATGCTCAAAACTCTTATATTAACTTGCAATTTGGTAAAATCACCTACCACAAAGACTGTTACAATAAAATATTCACTACCTATTGTCTCATATAACTCATTAAATACCTGTATCTAAAAAATGCTGGCAACATCAGAAGGCTAAAGCAGAAGGATCATTGCAAGTTCAAGACCAGCCTGGGCTACAAAATGAGCTCAAGGCCAGCTGAACTGCACAGCAAAACCCTGTCTCAAAAAGAAAAAAAAAGTCAGCAATGTAATATATCAATTATTTATCCTCTGTACATGTGGCTTACTGAGAACAGCTTAGTGCAGCTGCTACTACCCAACATCTCACGAGTATTATACTAAATTCTGCTAGCCTGGGAAAAGACCAAAATATGGTTTCCACTTACTTTTTGAGTATTACTTTCGTATCACCGTAAAAGCCAAAGTTCTTAAGTGCAACTACAGTAAATTGGAGGGACCATCTATGTTTCCTCAGGAAAAATTCCTAGCATGTTGGTTAAAATTATTTTTAACTAACCAAATTTTAACTTTGAGGAAAAAATAACCCAGATTGTTTGCCAAAAAGATTTTACCGTTGTATTCTTATGCTAAGAGTGCAAGGATTTATACCTGCTGCAAATGGCCCACATCTTCACCAAAATGAAGTACAATTCTTTAACTCACAGTAATCTAAGTGAAAAGGATTATTTTTATATATACTTATGTTTGATCATTTTTTCAATTTCTATGAAATATTTGTATTTCATCTTTAATAATGAGTTTTAAAATTAATTTTATCAAAAAAAATAAAAAGAAAAAGAAAATTAATTTTATTGGGAAACATATCAATGAGACAGTTCCAAAACCAACAGGACAGTTTCAATAATTAATACAATGCATATTGTTATCTTCTTAGCAGTTATTCATAGTACAAGATACAGACACCATATCCTGTCCAAATACTATTAGTACAAATCTTTCTTTTCACTGAATTAAGAGAAAGTACCTGTATATCTATCCTATTTTGTATATACAGATACAAAATAGTCCTTCCCTCTTTTTTTTTTGTTTAGTATTCTTAGGGATGGTTATTCAAATGAGTTTTTTTAAACAAATGTGTCCAACAAGGTATTCTGTTGTTGGTTTAACTTGAGATTTGTCTAACATTAAAATGTTTTAGAAATTATGCACGTCTGTGGTCAATTTTTTTCAAAAAAGGATACATAGGGCCTACCAGATAGCTCAGTGGGCTAACGTGCCTGCTTCAGCAGAGCGTAGTGGCCAGGGTTTGATCCCCAATGTGCCATGCCAGCCCCACCCCCAGGGCGCACTGAGATGGTGACTGAGATTGGGTGTGGTGGCACATGCCTGTAATACTAGCACTTAGGACTGAAAACAGGAGGATCACTATAAGTCTGGTCTATGCAGTGAGACCCTGTATACCCTGTAGACCCTGTCCTAAATTGATAAAAAAAAAAAAAAAGATACATAGTGAAAATAAGAATCCTAGCTATGTATGACAGCACACACCTGTAATCCCAATACTTGGGAGACTGAGGCAGAAGGATTGATGTGTTTGAGGCCAGCCTGGGTTATACAGTGAGTTCAAGGCCAGCCTGTGCTACGTAACAAGAACCTATTGCAAACAAATAAGAGAAATAAGTTTCCCTCCCTGAGTACCAGAAGTTCCCAGGTAACGACAGTTTATCATTTTTCTGGAATCCTTCTAGAGATATTATTTACATGGACAAGCACTACATTTTTATAAATAAAAAGCGAAAACAAAAACAAAATAAATAAAAAGCAAATGTGGGGCCAGTGAGATAGCTCAGCAGACTAAGCACCTGCTTTGGCAAGTGCCAGGACCAGTGTTTGATCCCTGGTCCTGCATGCCGCACTGGCCATGCCCCACCCCCACCCCCAGGGTGCGCTGAACCAGCAACCAAGTCTGGGCATAATGGTACACATGGCACATGACTGTAATCTCAGTGCTGGGAGGCTGAAAACAAGAGGATCACTACGAGTCTGAGCTGCATAGTGAGATGAGATACATTTTTTTAAAAAAAAAAAAGTAAATGTGAGTGAGATGAAGGCCAAGATTCAAAACTGAGTTCTTTTCATTTCCTCTGTCCTCAGTTAGAGGCCAGGCACTGTAGGTAGAGATAGTGACAAAGACACACACTGCCTTGGACATGTGTGATTATGGTTTGATAAGGATTTCAAAAATGCATTTGTGTACTTGCTTTGGCAGCACATACACTAAAATTGGAATGATACTTAGAAGATCAGCATGGCCCCTGTACAAGGATGACATACGAATTCGTGAAGCATTCATTCCATATTTTTATAGCTAGAGACTGTATCAGTAAGTAAAATAAATCAGACCCACATGTGCAAACATCATATTGTCTCACTAGTGTGAGAACCTGAAAGTAAATAAATCTAAAAGTACAATAGATACTGTACAAAGGAAAGAATCTGTTCAAAGAGAAAGAAAAATTAGGATGGGGAAAAGGACGAAAGAAGGGAAAAAGATATATTTACGTATATATGCAGGATAGTTTGGATAATTGTACTACTGATTTCTGCTGGTCTACTGAAAGGAGCAGTTAAAGCTGAAAAAATTTTTTGCTTTTCTTTAATTTCTTATAACTCCCCCCCCCCAGTTTTGCAGGTTTATATCTGGTAACCTAAACTATTATCTATTACTTTATCCAATGAAATTTTGTATCATTTCTATTTTTTTTCTTGCCAAAACCAAAGGCATTTGTTATGCAAACAACAGAACTTCCAGAATGGAGTATGGGTGGATGCATATTTGGTTAAGTGCCTACTATGTGCTAAACACTGTGCCAGTCCTTTTAATAAATTTTCTTTTACTTCCTGAAAGTTAAGTATTAATGTCCCCATTTTACAATATGACACCCACCCAAGGTCTTTATAGAATGCAACACGAAACTCCTCTCCCCAGGGTCAGCACAGAGTGCCTGCCATGAAAGATGAAAACCAAGAAACACAAAAACAAAAAACTGGAACTGGGGAGATAGCTCGGTGGCCTAAGCACCTGCCTGGCAAGCACAAAGACCCGAGTTTGATCCCCAGACTCCCACATGCTGGCTCCGGAACCTCAGGTACACTGTGCCAGCCTGAAATGTAGCACACACCCATAATCCGAGCGCTGGGGAGGCTCAGACAGAAGGATCACTGATTTTGAGCTGCATAGCGAGACCCTGTATCAACAAAAAACAACAAAAAAATCTAATTGATCATCAAAACTAGTTCATCATTAAAAGCCATTGAGTCCTTCACTTGGAGCACAATTTTCCTGACTTACCCAGGAGGAAAGCCATGAGTTTTCAGAAACAGTCTTTTTGGGGAGACCGCTGAAAACCACTTTTTCAGGAGCCTGGAAACAAATCATGAAGAAGCTACTTCATGGCAAACTCTGTGGATGGTCCATTTGTTGATCAGCATCTGCCCTGAGTGGACTTTGCACCACCCTGGAACCACTCCCAAGGGAGTTGAAAGGTTTCAGGAGATTGGCATGAACTGGAGTAAATTATCCAGACTCATGGTTCTAGGGGGCTTGTTAATATCTGCATGGATCCAAACCAGGACACTAGGAACCAAATATTTTGCTTTCAAATAAATTCTCTCGGTGTGAAATGATGCAAGGGTATAAACTGGACCACCCAGGAAGATTCCACTTCCTGCAATAATAACCAAAGCAGAAGTGAAAAAGGATAACCTTGTGGGTACATAGCCCCTATGGAGGCAGTACAACAAAGTGTCTGTTTCTGTATTAATACTGTCTGTCACTGTACCCTGAGGCTGGGCTTACCAATCAAACTCACAAGAAATTGATGCTTAAATCAGATGTTTATTTGCTTACAGAGTGACTGGAATATTCTTATTCCTGTTTTGCTTAACAAACAAATATAATCATTTGCCCCCCTCCCAGGTAAGTAAAAGTCTTTGCTTTACTCTTATTACTCAGTGCTATAATTAAAAAAAATTTTTTTTAATGATTGGCAGATCAAAAATGGTTTTCACTTAAATAAGTTTACTCTATTAGGGCACTGTTCCAACACTCACAGGTTTGACTCCCTACCAGTAACTCTTTTCCCCTCTCAGACTGGCTCCATGCCTCATCCTTCGCAGTTCAACTTTTCTGTACACTGCAGTGCAGGAAGAGGCAAGGCACTGGCCATTCTACCTGTGACTCCTACGCCAGTAAGTCTCAGACATTTAAACCCCTGATCTCAGGAGTCTTAATCTGATATGTCCTCTGGGGGAGGAATTATGTAAGCGTGTAGTCCTCTATTTTATTATCTAAGCCATTGTTTCTTTCCTGTTCACATTGTGTCTAATCCTAATCTTCCAAGAGTCTCTCACAGAAACTTGTATTTTTAAATAATACTAGAAGGTCCACAATTATTCTCGGAAAACTAATTTGGCTGAAGCTGACAAACAGCAAAGTCCATTTTTGGTACTGGCATTAACATGCTGGAGGTACATTTTAGAGTTCAGGGCCTCTTTCCCATGAAGAGATACTCATTCAACTAGAGGTGAAACTAATTTTGAAATCTGAAAGTCTCTTGTTTTTAGTGAAAGTAAAATTTGCCCACATAAACAGGTAGCCACCATTTCCTCAATATGAGACTGGAGACCAGTGAATACCAGTTCTTTAATTGCTCAACCTCCCATGGAAGCTATAGGGAAGATAATCTTGTTTATCTAAGGCTTCAATACATGCTAGGTGCTTAGCTCTTCTTCACCATAGATGCTTCAAATTGTCATTATTCTCTTGCTGTCCTGGAAGCACCATTCTCTTTCATCTGGGACCCTCAAGTATCTCCTTTGTAAGCCATTTCCACAATGACTACTGCTTAGCTGTTAACGGATGCTACCAGTAATACTTTATCTTTTTTTTTTTTTTTCCACTTCTAACAGAGCTTTGATTTTTGTGTAATATATGGCCAGGGAAGGTAATAGGTCCTTATGAAGCACGCTGGACTAACTCCTATTACCACTACCACTGTCTTTTGTTTTTATAATGAATGAAGACATAATACACATCTATGTGTATTATATTGATGCCATTGTCACTTTCACCAAACTGCTAAGACTGACAGAGAAGAAACATGAAAGCATTGAGCTACTGATGTGTCACTGAGTCACTGAATTAACCAATGTCCTATCTTTGGGAATCATATATATATATATATATATTTTTTTTTTTAATTTTCTGTTACAGCTGAAACTATCCTATCGGTTATTTCACCAAACTCAACTACTTCTCAATTCTCATAATATTGTTTTATTAACCATACAACCATTCCCCAAGTAAAATAAGGAATATGTTGAAATGTACTCAGATTTCACGGAACATATCATTTTAGCTTTTTTCTCATCCTTCCCTACACCTTCATAAACTGAAGATTCCCTTAACATCATAATCTTTTAAGTTATCCTTTAAATAATGGAGGATAGGCATTGTAATCTCTTTGCACTTTTAAAAATTTATCCAGCTCACTCAAGCACTTTGCTGCGGTTTTCTAATTCCCAATCTACACCACAGCACCCAATGCCTGTAATATGGGGCCCGTCTGTCACTGGAGAAGGGTAAGTATGAGGTGATCAACGTATTGTGAAGCAAACCAGTGGCTCTATAACCCGACTTAAGTCCGCCGTGGCACCGAGTGTCGGTTCAGGATTCAGAGGTGGGCACAGTGCCCCACACTCTAGAATGTTTTGGGTCGGAAACCAGCCCTACCCGGGTTGGAAGCTTATGAGCGCAGAAAAACATCCCTTTATATTCCACCCCACTATCTGCTCTGGACACAGCGGCCGCTCAGGTCGAGGCCGGGCCCCTCAAGCACCTAACTCTACACACACGCTTAAGACCCGCCAGCCCCTGCTTCATACTCCCACAATTCGTTACCAACTCTGTCTTGAGTTCCAGAGTCTGTGTTCTTGTTCTTTTCCTCAGAAACATCGCACCTCTCTGGAGTCACCTTAACGCCGCACTTCAGCGGCTCTGTACGTCTGATCTCTGCGAGGAGACCCCGTGGGCGGAGCCGGAAATACTTGCGGGAAGAAACCGGGAACGCCACGCCCTCGCGGCTGCCGGCCGGGGTACCGGTCTTCAGTTAAGTTGCCTGATTGGTCTATTAAGAGGGACCACCCCCTGGGGCAGCTAGCCAATCATAGTGCAGCAAGGCAGCAGTGGCCGGGCACCGCAGCTTCCGGCGGCTTCCTCGCAGCCGGTGCGTGGGGAGCATGGGAGTTTTGTGGTGGCCGAGGCGACCGTTATCGCCTGTCGATTGGGCGACGTTTGCTGTTGCACCTGCCCGGGGAGGGCACGCAGCCGTAAGTGGGCATCCTTAGCGGATGAGCCGGAGAGAAGCTTTCGGTTCAGGTTTTCAAAGGAGCTTGAGAGTAATGAAGTTTTGGGTATCCTGAAGGTATTTAGGGGGATTCGGGTTCCACCGAAGACTTTTTCTTTCTCCTGGCACCTTTGTCTAGACATTCTCATGGCGACTTGAAGACGGCCTCCCCTCAGCTGAGATGGCGTCCACGCTCCCGACATCCGACCCCCAGGTGAGACGAGGTGCCTTTTCCCGGTGTACGCTCTGTCGCTGTTGTCCAGCCTCGGCTTGACGACTGCGGAGGGGGACTGGACCCAGCTGTCGCGATGGGAGTGTGCTTGGTACCTGGTAACCAGTTTGCAGGTGTCTTTGTCCATAGAGGTGGTTTATCAGCTTCCTCTTTTCAACATCACAACCAGGGAACACAGTCTAGGAGGAGGGAGGGGTTTGTAATAGTTTCCCAAAGTGTCTTTCTGGAATGCTTCTCAAAATTCCACATTTCTAGTCTTTGCACCTGTTGAATAATAACAAAGCCCAGGTGATTCTTAATCACACCACAGTCCATCTGAAGAAGCACTGAGCTTAGGGAAGAAGGAATAGACTGGGCAGAGCTGGACAGTGAGTATCACGGGGAGGAGACTGAATGGCAAAGGAAAGATGGTGGGAAAACCCTGGAACTTCTCTTGTGTGATTTTTTTCCCCCTCTTTTCTCTTAGAGCATCCTTGCTTAATGCTTACCCTTTTTCCTTTCCTCTTCTATGGAAGATGCATTTTACCACAGCCTTAAAACAAATGTCCCTGTTTACTCTCTCCTTTCAGAACCCACGTCTAGAACCTGTTTCTACCCCATCTCAGCTCTGAGGAACCTTTCCTCTGCTTCGTTGTAGCTGATGTTTTCAGCTCTTACTAGCCTTCCCAGACTGAGGGACCGATTGACCCATCTTGTACCTCTTGCCCTGAGATGGCCTCTCATGTTGTTTCAGGAGCCAATACTATTTGAAGATCTGGCTGTGTATTTTTCTCAAGAGGAGTGTGTAAGTCTGCACGCTGCCGAGAGGTCCCTTAGCAGAGAGTTCACTCAGGAGTGTTTCAAGGATGTGGCCTTGATGGGTAAGGCAGTTTTTCCTATATCTGTGAACTTTTCATCAGTTCTAGGAGGATTTGACACCTTGTCCACGTGTTGTGATGATGATACAGGACCTATTCCTGGGCATTTTGCAAGAGATCAAAATATACAGTAATGTTTACATTTTAGGAATTCAAGGGCCAGCGAGATAGCTCAGACAACTGAGCGCCTGCTTAGGCAAACATAGGGACCGAGTTTGATCCTTGGCACCACTTGCTGTGTTGGCCCCACCCCCGCCCCAGGGCATGCCGAACCAGCAACTGTTGGTGCACCTGTAATCCCAGCGCTGGGGATGCTGAGGGCAGGAGGATCACAAGTCCGAGCTGCGTAATGAGACCCTGCAACAACCAAACAGATTTAAAAAAAGAAAGAAAAAAAAAAGAAAGTGGCAAGAATGATAAGTATGTTCAAGGAGAGTAGAATATTTTGAGAAGGATTAATTAATGGAAATATCTTTTGTAATAAATTTTTAAAATTTAAACCTTCACCATATATTTCCATCACATCTTGTATATAGATATGGTAAGAAGTTTCATGAAAGAAGTTCCAGGAAAAAAAAGTACAAGAATAAGTTCCAAAATCTGAAATACTGGTTTTTGGGGGTTGTGTGTGTGTGAGGGAGAGATAGGTTCTTGCTATGTAGTTCAGGCTGGCCTTGAACTCACTATGTAGCCTAACATGGTGTAGAACTCTCAGCAGTGATCCTCCTGCCTCAGCCTCCCAAGTGCTGGGACTACAGGAATGTGTTATCCTGCCCAGCTCAGGAGATGACTTGATTGATTGATTGATTGATCGATCGATTGTGGTACCAGGGATTGAACTCTAGACCTTGCATTTGCCAGGCAAGCATTTATGCTGCTGAGCTATCTCCCTGGCCCTTTATTGTTTTTTGGTTTGTTTTGTTGTTTTGCGGGGGGGGGGGGCGCGTGTTGAGACAGGGTCTTGCTCTGTAGCCCAGGCTAACTTCAAAATCCCCTCAGTCTTCCTACCTTTCCCAAGTATGGGATTATAGACATGTGCCTCATGTTCAACAAGAGATGATGTGTGTGTGTGTGTGTGTGTGTGTGTGACAGGTCTCACTATATACAGGCTGGTCTTGAACTCACTGTGTGTGTGTGTGTGTGTGTGTGTGTGTGTGTGTGTATGTGACAGGTCTCACTATATACAGGCTGGTCTTGAACTCACTGTGTGTGTATGTGTGTGTGAGGTCTCACTATATACAGGCTGGTCTTAAACTCACTGTGTGTGTGTGTGTGTGTGTGTGTGTGTGAGGTCTCACTATATACAGGC